TCAGACGACTCGGACTCGTTCACTCACTCAGATGACTCGGACTCGTTCACTCAGACGACTCGGACTCGTTCACTCACTCAGATGACTCGGACTCGTTCAGTCACCCAGATGACTCGGACTCGTTCACTCACTCAGATGACTCGGACTCGTTCACACACCCAGACGACTCGGACTCGTTCAGTCACCCAGATGACTCGGACTCGTTCAGTCACCCAGATGACTCGGACTCGTTCACACACCCAGACGACTCGGACTCGTTCAGTCACCCAGATGACTCGGACTCGTTCACTCACTCAGATGACTCGGACTCGTTCAGTCACCCAGATGACTCGGACTCGTTCACTCACTCAGATGACTCGGACTCGTTCACACACCCAGACGACTCGGACTCGTTCACTCACCCTGGGGATGGTTGACGAACGTCGTGACCCAGAAGTTTGGGATTTTGGCGATGAGTTCTGATCTCTTCTGAAAGAAGGGCTGACGTAGTTTGTTGTACTTCTGCTCGACTTTTAGGATCTCTTCACTCGCCTGTTCGTTTAGTCTGAGTTAAAACAAACAAAGGTAAATCAGGTCAACAATGTTTCCAGGTGTTTCAGAGGTTACCTGTTCAACTCACCTGTCGATTTCATTCTGAACTTCATCGATGTGTTCAATAGCTTCTTGTTGTTCTTTTTCTAAAGGAGAAAAATGAGAACCAGGAACAAATAAACATGTTGTTATTAATTAGATTAAATATTTGTTACAGGTGAACAGTGACAGGTGAACAGTGACAGGTGAACAGTGACAGGTGAACAGTGACAGGTGCACATTTACAGGTGAACAGTGACAGGTGAACAGTGACAGGTGAACAGTTACAGGTGAACAGTGACAGGTGAACAGTGACAGGTGAACAGTTAAAGGTGAACAGTGACAGGTGAACAGTGACAGGTGAACAGTTACAGGTGAACTGTGACAGGTGAACAGTGACAGTTGAACATTTACAGGTGAACAGTTACAGGTGAACAGTGACAGGTGAACAGTGACAGGTGAACAGTGACAGGTGAACAGTTAAAGGTGAACAGTGACAGGTGNGAACTAAATCTGATCAAAAACAATAAACATTTAACAGAACAGCTTTAAAGACCCTCACCTCTAATAATCTGTGTATCTACAGTGTGTATCTACAGTGTGTATCTACAGTGTACTCAGTGT